ACCTCATCTTCCTCTCATTTATATATGTGACCATTTTTCCAAATAAAGTTGCAATCTGATATTAAGCAATTGAATTAGCTGCCCGAAACCCAAAAATGAGTAACTGTATCACAGAAGTAGTAATTCGGGGAATTTGACATCCCATACAGCAACTAAATGCTTTATATTAGTGATCTAACAATTACTTCAACCATCATGACCATATAACCTCAAAAGAATCCTACATATAAGAGACAATTGTTAGTTCATCAAAAAGTATCTTTATGACAAAAAAAAATCCATTTATTCAATATTCAGTACAAACCAGACATAAACTTCCAGGACTCTTTTTTGAAATATGCTCTGGCCTTTCCTTATAAGTAGGGAAGAACTTGTACATATTCTCTTAATATTCAATATTAAAGACAACAACACTCATCAATTACTGCAAAGTAAGGTCCTGAAGTTGCCAAGCTTGAAGGAGCAACATGTTACTTTGCCGTAATTTACCAGTGTTATTGTCTTTGATATCAATTATTTCTTACTTTTTCAAAGACAAACTATGAATACCCATAGGTATCCACTCGTTTTTCACCCTACCGCAAAATTACAACTCCAGGTGTTGGTTCACCATATACAACTACATATTCTCAGGGAATCCTGCCTTGAATTACTTTAGACACTCCAGCTGATGGTCTTTAATTCTGGGAGTTCACACACTTCAGAAACCTTAAATATATCTAATATGTCTTCTAATAAACGTGTGCTGAGTTTGTTGTTTGCTCCTGGCCATATTAAGGTGAAATATGTTGTACATTTTTGTACATGTAGTATGGAGGACTTTCCAATTACAGTTTTTATGAATGAACTGCCCCGGTTGACCTAGGTCATTTGGGGAAAATCTCGTCATAGGACATTGTGACGTGAGGATATCTGCATTGTGACATCAAATATTCTGGGAAAATACATTAATTGGAAGATCATGTATTTAAATACTGTCAACTTAGGTCAAATGTACTGATTAAAAAAAAAAGCAATCATTGTTGGTACTGTACTCCTGTACTTTCTGGTTTTAGAAATAGCGGTAGATCAAATAAAAAGAGCAATAAAAAAATCTCTTACCATTAGAACCTTAATATCAAAACAAAATTATCCACTTCCTATTCATACTCATGTACAACGTAACATGGTCATCTAATTTATCAACGGGGATTTTATTTATTTATAGTTTATCTGTAGGTGTCATAATAAATAGATATCAGAATGCCTCATTAAAATATTATATAAGAACGAAGAGTTAAAATGTCAAGTTTAAAATATCTGCATAAAGGCATTAAACTGGATTAAACTCAGATGTAATAGAATTTACACTATAATTCAAATCTATTTTAGACTAGTTAATTACATGTACAGTAGTAGGATACTGTAAAAAAGGATATTTTCATAAGAATTCATTTTTGCTATTTATGGTATGATAGATATAGACACAATAATCTCGTCATGTGAATCTTATAGTGTTATATGTCCACTTTTAATTAAAATTAAACAATCGAACAAAGAGTTACTATTCATAACGTAAATTAGATTTCTATATAACTTTTTATGTCTCTGTTAAATATTTATGATATTGAGCTTTTAAACTTTAATTCAAATTTTTATCACTATTATCAAATGGGAAATACATCATTATAAGATTCACAGACAACATGATAAAAATGTGAATATTTCATCATGTAACTTTGATCATTCAGATAGACAAGAAAACATGAAAATAAAACCTTATGAATAGGTTTGGTCCATGAAATTGCAATATTCTAAATAAAATAAACCAATTTACAGTACATGTATCTTTTCATAACTAGGGCCCCTTGAAGCTTGATTCACTCAATAGGCTTTTACCTCTTAAAATAGTTCATGAAAAAATAAATCCAATCATAAATACAGTAATACATGTATTTCAAAAGATTGGAAGATTTAGAGAAAATATTTTGAAAACAGTTCGATAACAATCAAAGAAGTCCTTTGGTGCTATGTTTTAAATTCAAATATGATCAAATGATGAGTTTGTCAAGGAGTTTTAATATAAAATCATTACAAGTTTGGTTTTCAGCCATGTAAGATTTTTTTTAAAGAAGTTGAAAATGTGATTTCCTACAAGAACTCAATGGTAACATTGAACCACCACTGCCACATTGTTTGCCACTCAATGAACATTATATAAGGATTTTTATACAGGGTCTCAAAATTATCAATTCAGTAAACTTCTAAACACTGGCCTTGTTGTCCCATGAGAAGACTTTTTAATATTGCCAATACAGGATCAAAGAATGGCTCCCATGGTCATTTTGGCTTCCAATAAGAACAATATGAGAATTTGTAGGTGTCCATCCATTAATCATTCCTACCAACACATGACCAATATAAAAATAAGAAGATGTGGTATAATTACCAACGAAACAACTATACACCAGAAACCAAATGACATAGAAGATGGTCATAGAGTTAACAACTTTAGGTCAATGCACGGCCTTCAACAATGAGCAAAACCCATACCACATAGTCAGCTGTTAAAGGACACGAAATGACAAATGTAAAACAATTCAAACAAGAAAACTTACGGCTTGATTTATGTAAAAACAATGAATGGAACGAAATACAAATTTGATATACAGCAACAAACGACAACCACTGAATTACAGGCTCCTTCCTGACTTGGGACAGGCACACAATGTGGCGGGGTTAAACATGTTAGCCAGCACCCAATCCTCCCCTAACCTGGAACAGTGGTGTAACAGCACAACATATGAACAAAATATAATAAAATGCTTCGCTGAGCGCAGCCTGATACGACCGCAGTGGTTGAACCCTGAACAGTTGGGGCAAATTTGGACACAATATTCAAGCTTAATACTATCTGAATTTGGATTGTGATCAAATTTTTGACATAATATAGGTTTCTGACACAAAAAAAATGTGGTCAAAGATCTTACAAATCTAATGTGCAATACTGTGCAATTGAAGATTTCTTCTTTGAAAATTTTGAAAAAAAAATACAATGTATGAACCCTTTTAAAACAAAATTGGAAACCCCCTTCCCCTCAAACTTTTTGAATTCCTCTTTTAGCATTAACCATCAAACTCAATTGCAGTCTTTCCTTTGTAGTATGGAACCTTGTAGTACAATTTTAGAGAGATCCATACACTTAATCACAAGTTACTGTCTGGAAACTAGAAAAATGCTTTTTTAAAATTAAAAAGCCTCCATCAGCAATATTAAATAGTAATATCTAAAAATAAAATTCCTTCACATACATAATCATGGCTATAATTAAATTACCTTTATTAAACAATTTTAAAATAGTAACTTCTAAAAATAAATTGACAGCTTATCACCTAAAGACAATACATTTCTTTATAAATAATTTACAAGCAGTGTAAGAGAGGTAATTTGACAATGTGTGTTTGAATTACCTCCCTTATACTGCTTTAAAATTATGTTTTGTACTTAAGTAATTGTCCATTAACCTGGAAACCCTTATTTTTCCCCCTTTTTTGCCCCTAATTCCTGAACTGTTAGGACCATAACCCCCAAAATCAATCCCAACCTTCCTTTTGTGGTCATAAACCTTATGGTAAACTTTCATAGAAATCCATACACTTAAACAAAAGTTATTATCCGGAAACCAATGTGTCTTCGGACGACAACCGTCGACGATGACGTGATACCAATATACGACTGCAAAATTTTTGCGGTCAAATAAAAATCAAGTTTGATTTACATGGGCCTTTCAATTTCATAGAAGATGAAACAGGTTTTCCTAAAGTTTCTAGCATGTTTAAGGGAATTGGGAATTACTAAAAATATTTTTGTGTGCCACTTTTGATCCCCTGTTTGCAATTACCACCTGATGAAATTAAATGAGGATCATCTGTAGAGGGTTTGTCAATCATCAATTCTGTAAAAGTTTTGGACATTTTAACATGTACTATCAGAGGAGATTTTTAAAAATCTGCAAATTTTTTTTATTTATAAAGGAACATCTTAAAGGTAAAACAATAAATTCCACAAAATCAATTTTCACCTGCTACATGTAACTGGAATAAGAAGCCTTGGTAAGTTACTAGATTTCTTCCCTACCTTGTCAATGAAATCTCTCCAAATGTTATAGGAAATTGGAGAGTAAAATATAAATAAATCCAAAAATGTATGTATATTCAATGAATCTCTAAACAAAATCACACATCCATCAAATAAAATGCTGTTGTATATATGTTATGAATACTGATTCAAAACTTTGATGCCATATCTTACAAGATTTTATACATTTATGGTAGGTGCTTTTCATAAGGTACAAAAAATATCACAAAAACTTGGTATAATTAATATCTATTTATTATATTAAGACAAATACATCTTGTACTGAAGGTAAACAACTTATGTACTCCTACATATGATTACTTGTCAAAGTCAGGTTTCTTTTTTGTAAATATATATGATGTATATGTTACTGTACTTCATGTGGTTTTCAAGTACCAGTACTTTACATATCCAAATACATCTTTCCATCAAAGAATTAAACTAAATAAACGCACCATGTTTTATACTAATACATTGTATCATCAAAATACTGCAGATCTATCATAAAATAACAAGTTTTAAGAAATTTTTTATGACCATGACGACAGACCTTACTAATAAAAAAAAAAAGACAATACCAAGAGTCAACCAAAAACTTGAAGTCAAAGAAAAATACAATCTCCAGAAGGGGAACACAAAAAGTCAAAAAGCAACAAACCAAGGTGATTTCATGTGCTCATATAAGCAGATCCTGCTCCAACTGTAATATTCATTGTTATGCTCATATTTAAGACATGGATGTGGTTGCTGCAGTTTTATAAAACTCTTCTTTTTTGTGAGAAATAATAAAGAAATCAAACTAGTTTCTCCTTGTACAATGATAATTGCAATACAGTTCAAATTAGCTAAATAAACAAATACAAATATATCAATCATAACTTACCTGCATGGGTCTAATTATCATGTCAATATCACAAAAAAAACAATACACATCCAGGAAATTGTAATTAAAGAAGGAAATAATAGAACTTATTTTATTGGCTATGACATACAGTTTTGTAATTATGTAAATATTGGGATATCAGAGTGATGACTTTTGCCCTACAGACTACAAGTACATGTAAATGTAATACACAGGTGATTTGTCAATGTCCTTGACATAAATCCTGTATACATGTGTATCATTAAGATAATTATCAAAGCTATTCATACTTGTTTCAAAACTGTCTTTTCAAAACATGAATTGGTTTGACATTTGTGATCATCATGCTTAGTAAAAATTAACAACATTTTAGCAGCAGAATTCCTTATTAAATGTTTCTAATACAATTAAATAATCATGTGTTTGTGATAATCAGGGTTCTCACTAAGGCAAGTCCATGAGTCCTGGACTCATGAAAATCTGTTTGGACTCACCAATTACAAAACAGGTGATCGAGTCCAAAACTGCATCAAGATTGAAAAATGTTCTATCAGCTGAGCACACATATCATCATTTTTTATAAAAGTATAAAAAATAATCTAATGCTGATGTCATTTCCTTACTCTATTTTGTCACAGGGACTGAAATAATAAATGTAATAGCAATTAAATTTCATTTTCTCACTGTTGAACTCGCTATGGCAAAAAATGACGAGTCCCTGGACTCACCTTCAAAAATGTTAAGTGAGAACCCTGTGATAAGGTTTCATATGCAAGTTGTGTCGAAATCCCAAAATTGACTAGGGATACACATGATTCTAACTTATTTTACATAAAAATGTGAAGATGGGGTATGTTTGCCAATGAGACAACTTTCCACCAGAGTCAAAATGACATAAAAGTAAGCAACTACAAGTCACCATAAACCATACGGCCTTCAACAATGTGCAAACCCCATTTCACTAAGCAAGATATAAAATGCTCTGTCTTGACTTATGTTAAACATTTCAAACAAGAAAACTAACGACCTAATATATATACAAAACAATAATCAGAAAAAAATATGATATATAGCAACAAACTACAATCACTAAATTACAGGCTCCTGACATGGAACAAGCTCACACCAAATTTGGCAGGGTTAAACATGTTTGCGGGCACTCAACCCTCCCCTTACCTAGGACAGCAGAACATAAGAACAAATTATGAAATCAAATGGAAAAGACTTGACTCATCAAATTACCACTGAGGGTGTACATGTACCTATATTTGACCATGAATGCAAATGATTACTACTTGGTGTGTATTATAGATTAACATGATTACCACACTGAGGGTGTATATCTGACATTGGATTAACATGATTACCACACTGAGGGTGTATATCTGACGTTGGATGAACATGATTACCACACTGAGGGTGTATATCTGACATTGGATGAACATGATTACCACACTGAGGGTGTATATCTGACGTTGGATTAACATGATTACCACTTGGTGTGTATTATGGATGCACATTATTACCAGTTGAGGGTGATATTCGACGTTGGATTAACATGATCACCACTTGATAATTGTAAATATACGTCAAATTCAGCAATTTTTCAATTTACCAAGGGACATAACTTGAGAACAGTGAAAGTAACACCACCCAAATATGAACATGATCTGTTTTTTATTGGTAATATCAATGTGTATATGTTTAATAACATTTGGTTGAGGCAAACATAGTTAGAGTGCAGAAATGGCAAATTTGCCATTTTTTTCTGTTTATAACGGGGCATAACTCGAGAACAGTGAAAGTGACACCACCCAAATTCAAACTTGATTTGTGTTTGGTGGTAATAAACATTGTATATAATTAGGTTTCATAATATTTGGTTGAGGGAAACTAAAGTTAGAGAGCGGAAACTAATTTTGGGATGTACAGGAGAACAGAAAGACAAGGGTAAAACTTTATGCTCCTTGCCGTGGCAGAGACATAAAAATAAATATTCATCTAAAAATCCCACTGAAAAATTCCCTAGTGTTACGCACACATCCATGCCATCCACGATCTGGGATTGATACTCATGATACTGATTTGGTTCTCATAATTGTGTAAGAATCAATGCAAATATGGACATATATTTGTACCCATAGAAAGTCTTCGTGTCTTTGTGAAATTCAGTGACTGAATGAGAAAAAGAGACGGAAATCTAAAAAAAGGTATGCAGGAAAGACAACCGATGTATATATTCCCGTCATGTCCTACTTACCACAGTTACTACCACATGTACTTAATTACCATTAATGATTACTTTGTACCTATTTATCAATGACTTTATACTACTACTATAATATGTGTTTATTTTGTTTTTGACATTTATCTATATATTTTTACACATATTATTAGAATGGAAGTAATTTCTGTCAATATACTTGACACCTTTATGTCACTGGATTGTGTATGTGATCATGTTTCTTATGTTAGTTCTGCACCATAATTCTGATCTCAGGGAAGGCCTTATACATGTTATAAGACTATGTGGAAAAGTAATCGAATTAATGCATATATGTTGCTAAATCAAATAAATAATCATTACACATTTAATTCTTTTTAATTAGAAAAAAAACAAGGTCTTTTAGATCCATCAAGTCAAAATAAATGTAGTTATCAGACATCATAGAAAAGCCAGTTTTAATATTTATATAAGTATTTTGAAGAAATTTGATAAAATTATAAATGTTGTATTGTTTACCTGCAAATTAAAAGTGCATGCTTCTGTAATATCAACTATAAAGTAGTTTTCTATAGTGTTTGTCTGTATGGACAATATCTGCCTTGTATGTGCTTTTCTATAGTGTTTGTCTGTATGGACAACATCTGCCTTGTATGTGCTTTTCTATAGTGTTTGTCTGTATGGACAATATCTGCCTTGTATGTGTGAAATATTTCCTACTCACAAATGTGTGTCAAAACTATATCTATACAATTTTTGTCATTTTTTGAAAAGAAAATCAAGGAAGAAGACTTGATAAGGCCACAAAATTTTTAGCTCCTTGAACTAGAAAATCACCAAGTACATGAAGTATTAAACATCTATCAAATAACATTCTTTAGATGTTCACAAGACATATATTTGTCAAATACCAGTAATGATATGCTTAAGTTAAGAACCAAGTACTTCTTGCATACAATCAATAAAATGCTCCGCTGGGGCGCAGCTTGATACGACCGCAGAGGTCGAACCCTGAACAGTTGGGGCAAGTATGGACACAACATTCAAGCTTGATACAGCACTGAATTTGGATTGTAATTAAATATTTGACACAGCATAGGTTTCTCACACAGAATGAAAGTGGTCTAAGAACTTAAAAATTTTTAATTTACCTATTCAAACCATATCATTATTATTTGCTTTTATATATAAATCAGAAATAACCAATTTCAAAATGGAAAATTTTAAAGAAAAAAAAGGAAAAAAATATCCCCCCCAATTTTTTGAACCCCCTTATGTTTCATCACCCCCAAACTCAATCCCAGCTTTCCCTTTGTGGTATGGTACCTTGCAGTACAATTTCAGAGAGACCCATACACTTGAACACAAGTTATTTTCTGGAAACTAGAAAAATACTTGTTTTTTGGCCCCTTTTTGGCCCCAAATTCCTAAATGTTTACGGCAATTACCCCCAAACTCAAACCCAGCTTTCCCTTTGTGATATGGAACCTTGCAGTACAATTTCATAAAGATCCATACACTTACACACAAGTTATTGTCCTGAAACTAGTAAAATGCATGTTTTTTTGCCCTTTTTGGCCCCTTATTCCTAAACTTTTTGGGCAATTACCCCCAAACTCAATTCCAGCATTCCCTTTGTGATATGGAACCTTGTAGTACAATTTCATAAAGATCCATACACTTACACACAAGTTATTGTCATGAAACTAGAAAAATGCTTGTTTTTTGCCCCTTATTGGCCCCTTATTCCTTAAATTTGGAGGCAATTACCCCCAAAATCAATCCCAGCATTTCCTTTGTGATATGAAACCTTGTGATACAATGTCAGAGAGATCCATACACTTAGACACAAGTTATTGTCATGAAACTAGAAAAATGCTTGTTTTTTGCCCCTTTTTGGCCCCTAATTCCTAAAATGTGGAGGCAATTACCCCCAAAATCAATCTCAGCATTCCCTTTGTGATATGGAACCTTGTGGTACAATGTCAGAGAGATCCATACACTTACACACAAGTTATGTCTGGAAGTTACAAAAATGCTTATTTTTGGCCCCTAATTCCTTAACTGTGGGTACCATAACCCCCAAAATCAATCCCCACCTTCTTTTTGTGGTATTGAACCTTATGGTAAAATTTCATTGAGATCCATTCGATTAACATAAAGTAAGAGTGCGAAAACTAATGTGTCTTCGTACGACGACGACGACGCCAATGTCATCCCAATATACGACCACAAAAATTTTTTTGCGGTCGTATAAAAACACCTTTTTCTAATTTGGCATGTCTTATGATTCTTCCTTTTTCTAACATTAACAAGTTGCTATGATATCTTGACTCAAGTTGGGGTGGAAGCTGTAACACGTAGTGGTGGTGTTAATTCCGCCACTAAGAAAAGAGCATATACATTTTGTATATACATATGAAGTTGTATTGTCTAAAAAAAACTTAGTGCCTTTAACTGTTAAGAATATACTTTCACTTTGTGACGTTGGTCAGTACAGGACTGACAGACTTGAAAAGTTTTCTTTTAGCCTGGACAGTCTTCTGAAGAAGATCAATACTGGTTTTAAACATCATTAAAGCTATAGCTACTGTGCTCAACTTTAGAGTCTGTTAAATGCAGACTTTGTACGTAGGAAGCACATGCTATTCAAAGTGTTGATTGTATCAGCATTGGTCTCCACATTTCTATGGGCATGAAGCAACACCCTTTTTCTTCTTATGCATTGTAAGAACCAATTTAAAGCGGATGATAATTCATCAACCATAAATCTTTTAAGCTGAGGAACATTAACTAAAAGGGTGATCGCATGAAAACATATTGAAAGGCTAATTATTGATCTTCGTGATTTCCCTCAGGAAGGGTTCTAAATTGGGAAATAAACAATTTTTTTCCTGTAGATTTAAACTAAATCTTGTTTTGCAGCTATTTTAACAATCTTAGTAAT